AGGACTAATTCTTTGGTTATAATGAAAATAGAAAGAAAATAATTGAAAGAAAGTGTTTTCTCCTCTTTGATTAACATGAAAATTAGAAAGGAAAGAATGTTTTTGATAAATCTTATCCCAAAAATTGTAAAGAAACACAAAAGTGCGTCTAGGAAAATTAGTTATACGTTGGATAAAAGTTTATAACTATATGTTAGAATAGTGAATTAAGCCTAACTCAACCCTACAAAACTGGTTTATAAGGTGAGGGTTGCTTTCCACTTATATACTATTTAATTGTCTAATCTCTAATTGATGTGGGACTTGAATTTTTTCCAATATACCCCCTCACGTCCAGCACTATTGGGCTTGGTACGTGGATAAATGGTGAATGACCCTTTTTAATGATCTAGGATAGGCGGGACTTGGGTTTTTTCCAATACACCCCCTCATGCCTATAAGGCATGCATCAATGGTGGGTGACCCATTTTTAAAGTGGATTTAAATGGCTCTGATACCATGTTAGAATAGTGGATTAAGCCTAACTCAACCCTACAAAACCGGCTTATAAGGTGAGGGTTGCTTTCCACTTATATACTATTTAATTGCCTAATCTCTAGTCGATGTGAGACTTGGGTTTTTCCCAATACTATAAGTTAAGAGTTGAAAAGTTGGAGGCTTATAAAGTGACCAATTAAATTGAAACTGTTTAATAAAATTAGTTTATAAGTCAGTTAATCAATGAGTTTATTTGTATAAACTTTTCTTTAAATTGAAGGTTTATAAAGTCATCGATTAAATTAAAAGTATTTGATAAAATTAGTTGATAAACTAGCTAATTAATGAGTATGCTTTTAAAGACTTTTCTTTAAGCACTTTAAGAGAAAAAAAATAAGAAGAAAAATTAAAATAAATTTATCCTTAAGGTAAAATTAACTTGTACATAAGTTATAATGAAGATTTTTAAGAAGATAATAAGAGAGACCTTTGACAAAATAATTTATGAATAAATTAATTTTAACTTATGCAAAAATTTATTTGATTTTTCCTTTATATTTTACTCTTTTAAAAGTGTTTATGAAGGAATTTATTTAAACATGCCTAATATAAAATGACATATTTATTTGTTTAACAATGAGAATGAAAGAATGATATGTAAGCAAAATAATTTCTAAAGTAAAAATAAAAAAATAATTCCTAGTAATTAACAAGGATAAAAAAAGAAAAAGGAAAAAAAGTTAAAAGCTTATAAACTATAAACTATAAACTACTTCGATTAGCATAGGAAAATAAGTTATAAGTGCATAAAATGAGCTTGCTTATTAAATAACTTTATTTTGGTCAAACAAATTTATAAGTTAGTTAAAAGAGATTATAAGCTTTTCAAATATCTAGTCAAACATACTCACAATGTAATTTTTTTTTTAATTATATTATTAGTACAAAGTATTCATCAATTTTGTTGGTCACTATTGCAAAAAAGCCCATCTAACTACCTTTAATAAAATCTCTCATTTTAACTATAATCTTTTTTCATTAGATAAATCAATATATTAACGTTGAAACTTGAAAAAGTGTATTTTAAATGAAAAGATAAAAATATCCTAGATTGATTTAAATTATTAATCCTTTTATTTTAAGTGGTATTTTTTTATAGTTTATGTTGTATTTTGACCATTTTCTTTTGCATTATCAAGAGTATATTTTGTAATATTTTTTTATCGCATTTCATTTTTGTTTTAAGGGTATTTATATCACTTAATAATTATTGTTTTTTCTTTCATCTCCTATTCAATCAAACATGACTAGACGAGGAAAGAAAAATATAATTTTTCTTTCTTTTAACTTTCTTTATTTTAACTTTCTTTAGAGTAAATAATGTAAGACCCGCACCCGCGAGCCTTTCTCTCTCTCTCTCACACATTTTTTCCTTTCTTCCATTACTCTATTCTCATTCCCTTTCTTGGCTGAAACATGGGTGTTGGTGTTTGATTTGGAAGGTGGAGCTGTTGAGAATCAAGAAAAGCAGTAAGCAATTTCTTTCTTTTTCTTGGAGCTGTTGAGAATCAAGAAAAGCAGTAAGCAATTTCATTCTTCTTCATCTTCTTCTTCTTTAAGCTAGAAATTTATCATTGATTGTTGCTTGTAGCATGAAAGTGGTGTTGTTTGATGGGTTGGCATGAATGGGGATTAACTTGTGTAGCATTTGATTTGAAAGTGAGGTGTTGAGTGGAAGGGAGAAAATGTGATGGTTTGGGTCGGATTCTTGTTGCATGTGGGGTTTGTGATGTTTTTTGAGTTGCATGTTGATGGTATGACTGTTTTCTTGCAATTGCATGCGTTGGGTCTCCTTGGATTATAAGTTTTTGATGGATTTTAGGTGAAAAACATGTGAGAAGCCATGGAAGAGTAGAAAAATTTGTATTTTATGTTGGAGTGCTAAATCGGGGCTGCAGTTGTGTGAGAAAACAAGGTGGTCGAGACTTGGAGCTGCAGCTCCAAGTTGGGCGCTGCAACCCCAGGAGAAAACGAAGCTAATAGAGAGTTGGAACTAGAGGGCTGCATCGCCAAGGGAAGATAACCAAATTTGGTCTTAGGGTTTTCATGAAAGTTGTAGCCTTGGATGTTATATTTCCAATGGCAACAGAATCACCCAAAAATGAGGTCTAGAACTCTAGATATGGTTGTTTTAGTGAATAGTGGTCAAGCTATCAACATTGGTTATAGCTGTTGCAGTTTTTATAATTTTTAACAAAGTAGATGATGGAATTAGGACTTGATTTCTTCATAAGAGTTCTAGAAAATCTTCTTATCTTTCATATGAGATATGGATGATCATGATAGGAGTAGTATAACTCCTAATACGCTATTTTATGTGAAGGTTATCATTTCACAATGAGTGATTTGGTTAAGTTGATAGTTGCTTTGGGTGTTTAAATTTATTTATGTTGTTATATTGAGTAATTTGGCATGATTTATGAGTTTTAATTATGCAATAGGAGATGTATTATGTGAAGGAAATGTTGTGTATTGATATATATGGTAAAATGTTGAAAAATGATGAATGTTGTAGTATGATGAGAAAACATAGTTGTGAGTTGAGAGTTGCATGTTGAACCCTAGTTATGTAGTTGCATAGAGATGTTATATGAGTTGAATGAATTTTTGTGTTGATAAACTGTGTTGTTAAAGTTGCGAGTTGATTGTGTTGTTCAAGTTGAAAGTTGATTGAGATTATGAGTTGAAAATTGTGTTCATTGTGTTGTTATGATGAGTTGTTGATCACTAGGACTAGAGGAGATGTTTTCGAATTTTCTCATCTCATTGTGTGGATTGAGATAATTGTGGTGTTTTGAGAGCCCAATTTATTGAAAAACCCTCCTTGGGAAGTTGTCCCTTAGAGTAGATGATGTGTTGTTCTCCTCTAGGACTTAGTTGATCCCTTGTGTGGGCAAGGTCATGGCACACGTGTATGAAGCGACCACGGTATAGGGGCTAGGTCAAGTTATACCGGTTACAAGTGGCCAATTCGAGTAAAGTACAAAGTCGGGAACTTAGTTCCTAACCGAGTATCAAAGGGTTGTAGTATTTGGAGGATAGTGAGTAAGCTAATCTCATATGTGGTTTAATTGAGCTAGCTAATGTCATGGTAGGCCTAAACCCAACTGTCTTATCTTGACATAGTATTATACTTCCTTGTTTAAGTGACAAAGTTTGAGAAATCATTATCGTGTTGTGAATTTTTATCCAAATTTGATGTTTACCTAGTAAGCCCAAAAAGGTTATGTGTTGTCCGTTCGGTAGGACCTAGCCACTTAGACTGCTCACCTTGTGTTGTAGGAGATCTCTGAGTTAAAATGTGTGACGATGCATATGTGTTGATGAGTTGTATGTGTTGATATGTTGTGAAGTTGTTATAAAGTTGTGTGTTGTTTATGTGTTGTGTGTTGCATGATGAATAAGTTGTTATTTGATAGTGATGTTGTGTTGTAGGTTGTTTTTACATTCATATGTTGTTTAAGTATTATGTGTTGTATGTTGAACAAGTTGATGAAGATGATGATAGTGATGCTAAGTTGTCTGTGTTGTATATTTCATATATATGGGTTATTTATTTTCACTAGCTTACCCTTGCATGTTTCCATGTGGTATGGACTGTAATGATCATACGATGTATGAGAGCAGAACAAAGATAGGTTAGGAGTTAGCTGCTTGAGGCCACTTAGTGGTAGGAGCTGGAGAGTTATATTTTGTTGACTATCCCTAATGGTATAGTTTGTTTATTTTGTAGACCATTGTTTATATTGTGGCATGTTAGGCCACCTTTTGTGCAAAGTGACGTATATATATATATATTATATATTCATGTTATATCATTTTAGTATACATTTCTAGTTGTTCGGTTGTATTATTTTGTAGTGTTACAACCATGACCGGTCATTACAAATAACTAAAAAATTGTCTCACTTTTTATTTTTATTTTTCATTTTCCTTCCTTCTACTTTTGTGCTTCAACTAATCAATGTAAAGTTGTTGGTGACTAAAATACTCCATTTTTTTATTCTTACTAAAGCACTTCATTTACGAGTGTTAACACTATATTTATCTTAAGTATACTTTTTTAATGATTAAAATTAATTAATATTATAAAATTATATAAAAGGTATTAAATAAAGCATGAAATTCACTTAATTTTATGATTTTAATATTAATAAAAAAAATACATTTAAAAGAGTATATTACATAAAAAAAATTTACATCATACTACATAGTGTTTTACTCCTTAAATACTCTGTGATTGGGGGGGACATTTTTAGAGTAGTATTTCTTGTAATTTTCCTTAGAATAAAAAAAGGATGATATTTTAGAGTACGTTTGGCTTGTGTGAATAACATCACCAAAATCATTACAAAGAGTCACGATGTCCTCAACGTGGAAAAAATAATTGTTTTCTTTTAAGCATCGCAAAACCAATCATTTCTCATTGCCCCTTTATTTGTTTTCACAAGCAACATTTTAGGATGTGTTATTTTATTTCCCATTACACAAGTAGAAAAAATGAGCATAGCATTCAGCTTTCAGGGTCATGTTTAATAATGTGACGCCAGAAAGTTAAGTGAAACGCAAGATTACAACTCGGCGTTAAAACGCTGACGCGGAAAGCAAATCTCTATCGGCATGTGGGTCTCTCATAGATTTGGCTCTTCTTACAGAATAATACAACCAAGGTCTTCATCTTGAACCATTCACGACCGTGAATTCGTGCTTCAAATTTTACCAACCACGATATCCACCATCATCCATCATCACCCACCCATTAACTAATCAAATTAATACTCACCACCCTTGTAAGAAAGCTGCGAACTTTCGGTTTTCCCAGCTGAAATTCACTCCTTTCGCTAACTGGGTCGTCTCCGAGCGATGCGTGGAGCTGAGGGCGGTGGTGGTTTCGCCGTCAGAGGCGGTAACATCTACTGGGGGAGGAAAGAGGAAGCTGATTTCAGAGGAATCGTTGTAATCTTCGCTTGGGTTTCTGTTCCTCAGACGCTGTTACGAGAATTCGTTGATCTGTGTTCCTCTTTGGGGTGGAATTCCCTTGTTTGTTTTGCTCATTATCTCTCGGCGTAAGTTTTTTTTTTCTTTTTCGGAAATTTCTTTTCTTTTGGGGCTTTCTACGTCGTCGTTTCACTTTCATTTATCTCGATTTTGATGTAGTTGTTTGTGTTGACCGGTTATCAGATGGAATTAGTGGGTCAACAATTTAATTAAATTGGAGGGATAGGCGTTAGATGAGGATGAATAGTTGTAAAAATTATAGCTTTTTTGCACAATTTGAACTGAAAAGGCTAGGCTGTTTCATAGTATTTCCTGGTCATGGAATATCAGAGTTTCATCAACGGCTGAGGGAATGATCGAAAAAACAGAAAGAAAGGGAAGGAGATTGAGAATAAAAAATAGACTGAATGCAATAATGTTTCTAAGTGTCATTACAGAAAAACAAAACTGTACAAATATATGATGGAATGAGAAATAAAACTGAATCTGCCTGGGCTACCTGCTAAACTGGTTATACTAACTAATAAAAGAATACAAAACTGAAATACAATTAGTAAATGGAATGTTGTAATATGGAAAGTATATTCTTTGTGTCACTTTATTCTGGATGATTTTTAGGTTTGTGTTTCAAAATGTTGTGCTTCTGGGAAAGAATGGTTGCCTTCTTTCTTTTTGGGGTTTACTTTTATTTTTTATTTTATTTTTCTTTTTTCTGTGAGCAAACAGATACGCATGCTCCACCAACATGAGAGAGGAGAGCTTTTGTGTGTTACATGTCACGTTTGCCTAACCATGTGGAATTATAATAGAAACAGAAGTTTGGTTTGGAAGATGCTTTACACGTGAAAGTAGCGGAATGCTGTTTAGTGTCATGTTTAATTGTATGTTGAACCCTTGCCTTAGAATTAGGTTTGCACCATCTATTAGTTATCTGTCTCCAATTTTTGAATAAGAAAGAGAGATAGATGATCATGAATCCTGGTATTTATGAAGTTCATATGTAGTTCTTATAAACTATATAATGGGTTGTCTTGTCAACGTGACTTAGAGGGGACCATGTGTTAAGAATAGTATAAAAAAGTTATTCTCAATACCGGTGGGAGGCAATGTATGTCTCTTACATTGACTTATGAAATTAAGAATATGGGTGGGTTGGAGAGGTTTAATTATGGTTTACTTAATTCACACCATAATTTAGTGAATCTTGTGAGATAGCTGTGGATTTATCTGCAACTCTTTAGGAAGGATTGAGCTCCCTTTTTGATGCCTAAGGAAATAGTGGAGACTTGTTGGGAATAAAATTTTCTCTACATCTTGCATGTGATGGGAAGCTTTTAATTCTGGTTGAAGTGCTCTGCGATAAAATTCATATAGTTTTTTCTAAAAGAATTGAAAAAGGAAGTTTTACTTCCTGTTAGATTAAAGAGATTTCAATATCAAATGACAATATATTAGGTGCACTTATATGTGGCATGGTGTTGTATTATCCTAAATCCCTTTCTGCAAAAACTTAAGAGATATGCTCAAGTTGTAACTTGTAACCAACTAAATACCTGTTGAGGTATACTATCTTGTATTTACATTTTGTTGATTACAGATCACCACCTTATTTAATTTCTATTCATCTGGTCTTTTGGTTGGTACATAGTACTGACAGAATTTTTGTATCAAATATTTCCTCTCATTTGATGCAGTTTCCATGATGAAAGTGCCACGCCATTGGCATTCTGTGTTCTTGATGAACTTATTGAGGTTAGTTTTAGAAATTGGATAGAATGCTAAGATTGATGTTGATGCTCTTAAAAGTAAATTTACAAAATCTCTTAATGATGCTATGCCACAAAATTGAGTATTTAGTCTTAGCTTTGTGTCATAGGTTTTAAGTGAAAAAATTCCTTTGGATTATGCAGGAGCTGAGAACTAGGTCATGTCCTGTTGTATTTACCGCTTTTTCTGCTGGCTCAAAAGCCTGTCTGTACAAGGTATTTCAGGTAATTTTAGGCATCCAATCTTAAGTTTGATATGGAGAATATTAGAATTTGAAGTTGTGTCCTTTTTAGTAGAAATTCCCACTGTAATACCTTTCCATATAAATGCAGCTTATTGATGGAAGATATGAAAGTCCTCTCAACTTGGTAATGTATTTTTGCCTTCTATACTTTTAAAAGAAATTAAGAATTCCGTCTTTATTCAATCCTCCCTCTCTTCATCGATTGGTGATGTGTTGTGCTTTGTGAACACGGTGAAGTTTATTAATTATTGATTTATTTTTTGTAGCCTAACTATCAATTACTCAGGAACTGTGTTTCTGGCCACATATATGATTCTGGTCCGCTAGATATTACAAGTGATTTTGGCTTTCGCTTCGCAGTACCCCCTTCCATTGCAAAAGTGCCTGGACCATCAAAACTTGTTTCTTTGGTAGCAAAATCTTTTACTTCTGGTTTGGATGCTTTATACCTAACTAGATTTGAATCCCAAGCTGCTGAGCATTGGCAGGCTTTATATTCTTCTGTTGTAAGTTCTATCTTGACCACTGGAATCTTTATTGCTTTTTAGTCTTATAATTTTAAACTCTGATCTCATTTTTCTCTTTAGAATTTTGGAGCTCCATTTCTCATTTTATGCTCTGAGAAAGATGAATTTGTGCGATACCAAAGTATCTATGAATTTGCCCAACGACTACGCAATCTCAATGGTGATGTCAACCTTGTAAATTTCAGTAGCTCCTCTCACCTTGGTTAGTTTGAGACTAATTTTCAACTACATTATGACAAACTTGAACCATTATAGCATGATTATTGTTATTATTGTTATTTGTTTCAGGTCATTATAAACACCATCCAATTCAATATAGAGCTGCTGTGAACCATCTATTAGAGAAGGCCACTACAATATATTCACAGAAAGTGATGCTTGAAAGAGAAAGAACTGGTATTGATGGTACACATGATGAAATATCTGAGTTAATCTGTGACCTGCAGAAGGTGGCAATCAATTCAAATAAGAGCCTTAGAAGAGTTGCAGTAGGACCAACTGACCACTTCTTTTTACCTAGTTCAGC